TCAAAGTCTTCCTACACTGGCTCCTCAGATGTCCTTGCTCCCCACAGTTCCAACAGCCGTTCTGGGTAGCAGCATTTCCTGCTGTATCATCTCCCCTGTGCTGAAGTTTCCAGCATTGAGCTCTCGTGTGCCTAGGTTTGTTACAGTGCCAGCAAAGTCCCTCAAACTTCTCTGAAAGCTGACCTTTTCTGGCCTTGAATCCAGATGACTGTACCAACCTTGGTACCTCTGTGCTGGACTTAACATAGGATTCAAATTCGAGAGCTCTGACCATTGCATCCTGCATAGTAGAGGGCTGTGCTTGCCTTACTTGTATCTTCAGTTGTGGACTGTTCAAGGCATCTACAAACTGATCCCTCAGCAACAACTTTAGGACATCAGGTGGCACAGTTGGGTATGCCTTGTGTGCCATACTTTCCAAATCCTGTGCCAGCTCTTGCAGGCTCTCCCCTTTAGCACAGATTCTAGTCCTAAACCTAGCCCTGTAGACTTCAGACTGATTTTGGGTTCCATACCTGAGTTCTAGAGCAGCTACCAGTGCTCTATAGTTGTGTTTAATTTCTCGTTCTTCTTGTTTCTTTTCTTTTTCCTCTAACAACTGCTGTAATCTCTCTTCTTGTTTAATTTCTCGTTCTTCTTGTTTCTTTTCTTTTTCCGCTAACAACTGTTGTAATTTTCCTTCTCGTTCTTCTTGTTTCTTTTCTTTTTCCTCTAACAACTGTTGTAATTTCTCTTCTCGTTCTTCTTGTTTCTTTTGCTGTTCGTGTATTGCTGCCATTAAGTCTGCTAGGCTGGAGTTTGATTTGCCGCTTCTCGTTTCCATTTTTTTTTTTCTGTCCCACTCTCTGACACCAATTTGTTATGTCTCCGTTTGTTAATTAACTTTCTGTAACTTAGTTACGACGAAACTTTAGCGACACAAGTCCTTACTTAATAAAACTGGTTTATTCTTTCCGAATACAACTTTACGATACGCTTATTTTGAACAATCGCTCTATAACAAACGCTATATCAACAAATGTCAACAATACTTCTGACTGCAGTTCAATTACTCACTATCTACACACACATTATTATTACATTCACGTTGTCACCCTCTTTTATATACCAGACTACCCTATATCTAGTAAATGCTAGAGCATTCGCCAAAGTACAGGATAGTTCTAGAAAGTAGAGGCTGTGAGAATAGTCATGTGATCTCGATGACGCAACACAGTTATTGGCTAAGGCCTTAAATGGATTACTGTAGACTCCAGCTGTGTTGATTTCATAAAACCTCAAAAAACTTTTCTTCTAATTAATAGCTCAATCACTTTAAAAACACTGACATCTAATGTTTCATTGTGATACTATATAATAGTGTAAGGATGTTTGGCCTTGTTTTGTTAATTTATGAAAAAATGGAGGGGGGATTTGGACTCTTCCCCCCCCCCCCTAGATATTTGCCTACTTATACAATATTAAATAATACGTCTATTAATTTCTAAAAAAAAAAAAAATGGGGGTTGGACCCTTCTTCTAGTTCAGTGCCTGTGTATACAACATTAAATTATATAGTTATTAATTCTTGAAAATATTAGGGAATCTGGACCTTTTTTGTTCTAAGTATATAACTCCTTATACAGTTTATTAATTTCTGGAAGAAAATAGATGGGTGGTCTGAGCTACCTAGAACATCATCTAGATTTGTGACTATTTATACATGTTAAAGAAATACAGTTATGCAATTATGAATTAGAAGTGTAAACAGAGTAAAAAACAACAAATTTACACTGTATTTAACACTTGAGTAGCTTGAGAGTGGGTGCTGCCAACGAGTTACCTTCCAGCAGCTCAAAATTTGTGACAGTAACAGATAGCTGTAGTAGTTTTGTAATAACAAAGGCAGAGCAAGCAAGTTTAATATAAATGTGAATTGCACCTGAGACCCTTAAATCACAAGATACCCCACCTCATTATATAACTTGGAGCTTAACAGTAGACAAACATAATGGCAATATTTCAACAACTTGGACAGTTGGCATAATTTGAAACCCTAATTTTGAGTAGTTGATTGTTTTTTTAACAATAAATTTAATCATGGTTTTGATTAATCAATTAGTCTACAAGACACTAATTTATTTAACTTCTGTTCCTAGGTAACTTATTATATTGCTCTGTTCTAGTATGTTGGAGTATTACTCAGTTTAACATTGTTCATTACATTATAGGAATATTAATTCACATTTGTTTTTTGTAATATTCTAAAGAGTTAATTTTGGTGGGGCTTGGCATTTGTTTCTAGTTCTGGCTAAAATAGATTTTATTTTAATATGTATTAGTAGGGGGATTGAAATAGTCATAATTATTTGTACCTGCTGTTAGTTTTAATGCTCCCCTCCAATAAATACTATTACAGGCTTAACTATATAGTCCATAATGATATATTCTAAACTCAGTATAATAAACTAAAGTAGTGCAGCAGTACATTTTACTGACACTATGTTAATAATTTAATATAGTTGTTTAATAATAATTGTTTTAAGGAAGCTAAACAGTTCAGTTAAGAAATGAGTTACACCATTGTCACAACAGATTCACATGAAATCAGAATATTATCTCATAACTAGTAAGGCCATTTGGAATATGATTTGAACAATACACTCATATTATTTTATTTATCTAATTGAATGAAAAATTTTAGCTAACTAATATGTTGCAACATTGCTCTGTTGTTAGCAAGTTCTTTTAAATTATCTGGTAAAAGTAATTCAAAGTCCACTTCACATAATAATAACAAAGTAGTTTATTTCTTCAATATTTGTATACAACATTGTGCACTTTGTAATTTGCAAGTTATAGGCCTGAGTAACTTTAGAAATGACACTCAAGTGGAAATATCTTGACTAACATAAAAGAAAATCTTACTTGTGCAACTTCATGGCTGATCATTCAAGTAACAGAAAACAAAACACTGACAAAAACATACTTTGACTTCTTAATTCTTTCTATCCTTCACTGATTTGCTTTGTAAGATTGCCTACTTTATTGGTTGTCTAACCTGTATTTATAAATAATAATTATTTCAGATATTTCATTGTCAGTAGATTTTTGCAACATCAATTTAGAATATTTTAAGCCTACTCTCACAAATTTACTTGATCTTAGCATCATATACTCTTTAACTAACAAATAAATTATAACATTAAAAATGTAGCTTATAACAACTAAAAAATTGATAAAGATTTATTGTTGTTCAATGATTTTTTTTACTGATTACTTAAACTCTTAGGTTTTAAAAGATATTTCTTTCCTGCATCCTGGAGAGGTAGAAGTCCTTAATAGACTTTGTTTGCTGGGAACCAGCTACAAATATTTGCAAGACTTCATTTATTCTCCAACAGAAGGTAATATAAAAAAGTTTAAAAATAAGTACTGATCAGATTTAGATGTATTTACTATACAATGTAAAGTTATATAAAGTTTTATACTTTTACTGTTAATTTTTTGTTTTTTTCCAATATATATTTATAGATTAGAATGACCTTTTTTTTTTCATTCCTCAGGATGATAATTGGAAATGTATTATAGTGAAATATAAGTTTTTATGTTTTTTTGTTGTGTGTGTGTCTATGAGCAATAGTGTGTGCAAGCTTCATTCACAATGGGACAACAGTCTTGTCAAACTTCTGAGATGATTTCTCACAACCTTACAAAGAATGGCTGGATTCCTCACATATTTACATATGAGATTTGCATGTCACTTGCCTTGAGTCAACTCCCACCTCCAAACCACATGTTTTATGTGAACTGCGCTAACGCATGATGATATCATCATGCAATAATAACCCTGTACTGATAGGAGGATAACAAAACCTTGCACTGTAGCTTCCCTTAAGCACTTAAACTCAAAACAACTTCATTCTTTTCCTTGGCATTGTCTAGAATGGACATGTTTCAAAATTGTCACTCAGTTACTTGCGGCTTAGAGTAGTGTCCTACTGACTTAAATTTCATTTCAGTTACTCTGGTTAAGCATTCATAATTCATATAAACAGCATATTTTGTATTTACTTTTAATTAGAAATTTTTTTATAGTGTTTCATGCCATTATGAATTCTCAAGTGATGGTAACATCCACTTCTTCTCGTGATAGTGACGATGCTCCTAATATGGAACCTGTATCTATTGTGGTTACTTGGGGATCATTGTCTATGGAGGATGTGACAGCCATTGTTTAATGTGTTGTGGGTTCCTCTTGCACAGTGGTGCTCCTCCTCCCATCCATTCAACTTATGTTCCTTCTCTCTACTTTAAACATGGTTAAGATGATGATGGTTTGACTAACTATTTCCCTCACCAGAGTTTGCTCTAGTCACAATTCTATCTGTAGAGGAAAATCCTCATTCTTCGGGTATCTTCCTTCTTTCTTTTTCCCCTTTGTCTTTTTATTGCTGCTGTACTTTACTACTTGAAACCCATACTCAAGACTTTGCAGACTTGTTTCTCGAACATCTACACACTTGTACTAATGTACTTCATCCTCTTTCTCTACTTCTCTTTTTTGTTTGGTTTATGGCCATTCTTCATTTCCATTCCTCAATTCACAGTTTTGGGATCTCTTTTACCTAATTGGGGGAGTGGACCTCTTAACTTTTATTTTCCTTTCTAGTACTTTGTTTATGTGCCCCTGTCTCTTTCTTACCACCCTTCTGCATTACCTCTCATCACTTCACCCTATGTCTAAGGCACTTTATTGTGTTCCTGAAGGGTCTTGTGGAGAGGTTCAATCTCTTCTTTTCCCCACATTGACCTGTACTTCTGCTCTATCTTTCATTACTTGGTTCATCTGCTGTTTGGATGGAATTCTTTCCTAGCTAATATACATCTCCCTCACACTTGTATTTGTGATCCTTGTTGGGCTCCATTTCTTCCCCCAGAGGTTTTCATGGGTGTATCTGACTCAATGTAGACCTGGATTGAGGTGGCCTAGCATCATTCCCCATTGTCTGCTATGGTTTCTCATCTTTCTCAACCTCATCATTCTGTTCCTGTTCCTAGGCTTTCCAATTTCATGTCACCTCTTGCAGTTCCAGCTTCCTGGTCTTCCTCTACTTCCCATCCTCACCATTCCTGATTTCAGGATCGTTGCTCATTTTGTAGGTGACTGCCCTGTTGGGTCTGGCCCTGTAGGGGCCCATCTATCTTTCTTTACTAGCCTTTGGTCTTCATTTTCATCTAACAGATAAGTTCTTCAGGTTCTCACCCACAGCCTATCTCCTCACTTCTCTTCCCCTTTCCCCTCTTCCATTTCCTCTCCTTTTCTCAAGTATTTAATATCAGATTCTTTGGCCAAGAATGCCATTAAGAGGGTATTAACTCCTACATCTGGTTATTACTCTCATCTTTCTGTAGTCCCCCAAGAATACTAAGGACTGGCATCAGGTTATAAACCTGATGACTCTCAACTGGTTTCTTATCGTTTCCATATGTTGGTTTTCTTTTCTCTTTAGTGGTTATTTTCATTCAGACTGTTGATGATCAAGATTGACATTTCTACACATTCTGATCACCCTTTCCTCGATACATTTTCTTCGTTTCTTACATTGGGTTTTCTATTTTCTTCCTTTTCCTTTTGGTATTGTGTCTGCTCTTTATGTCTAATTGAGTCATGGGGCATTTGTCCACCTTGTTCATGGATTAGGCTGAGGTTCCACTATTATATGGATGATTGACTTCTCTTCATCCCTTCTTGAGAGGACTCCTTCTCTCATACCCATGTCCTTCTGTGGTAGGCTGCTTAGCTGGGCTGGCTTGTCCTGCCTTCTAAGTCTTTTCTTAAGTTTGCCCTATATTTGGCACATCTCAGCATGTTTATCAACTCTCATCTCAGTCTGACTTATCCTTCTCCACTTTGCCTATGAGCAATGGAATGTCTTGTAACCAAGATTTGTGCTTTTTTTTTTGACACCCTGTGTGTGACGTTCTTTTGCTCTTGGGAATCTGGCTTCCCTTGAACCACTCATTCCTTTGGGCCACACATACATGTTCCTCTTTCTCTGGATCTGTGGGCCTCCTCTTATTGAGGACTTGTCTTAACTGTTTGACCATGCCAACACCATGATGAGCATTTCTTTCTACTTTAACCGGATCTCCATCTTTTCACATATGCTTCCCTGTCAGGCTGGGGCATGTCTCTGTAAGACTTCATGACTTTGGGCAGGTGAGCTCCAGAGAAACATTCACTCCACATCACCTTTCTTGAACTTCTTGCCATTCATCGGTCACATTCCTATTTACTCCATCTTCTCATTGATTAGTTGGTCATGATCCACTCTGATAATTCCACAACTACAGTTGTAAAATGCCAGGACTCTCTGCTTCCATGTGCCATTTTGGGCTCATTCCCATTGTCTTATCATGTGTCTTGGTTGAACAAGTTCTACTCATAAGAGTGGTCATTCCACCCTCTTGTTTATTGTTGGATTTGTTCTCAGTTGGCCACACCTCTCAGTGTTGCCTTCACCACTCCTCTCAACACCAAACTTCCTCTTTACTGATCCCCAGTTCCTCATCCTTTGATCCTGGCAGTCGATGCTCTCAGCTAGCATTGGTCTTACTTTTTTTGTATTCCTATCCTTCTCTTTGTCTTCTTCCTTGTGTCCTCACTTTAATACACAACACTCCTTATCAGGTATCTATTTTGGTGCCTTTTTAGCTGGCACAACTTTGATTTCCTCTGCTTCACCAGTTGGTGTCCAAGCCCTTTCTTTCTCTGCCCTATTCCTGCTCTGTATTGCTCCAACCGCACAGGTCTGTCTTTCACCCATGGTTGTTGTGCCTTCATCTTCACATGTGCAATTTGTATGGTCTATTGCCTGCATAGTCAGACTCTCCATTTGTGTAGCCTATTTCTTATCCCATTCCTATCATCATTCAACTCTCTTAGTCTGGAGAATTTTTCAGTGTGTGCCCATCAGCTACTCCCTTCCTCTGGGCCATCCTACTGTGACCCATTTTTTGGCCTTTTTCACATGGTAGTTTGAATATGGATTGTCAATTTCCACTATTGCTGGTTATTGGATGGCTTTATCAATTACCTTTCAGTTTTTTCTTCCTATGTCCTTGCCACTTTGTTCCAATCCTTCCTTCTTCACCGACCCTCTTGTCCTACTCCTGTGCTTGACTAGAACCTTGATGTGGTTTAACATGCTTTTATACACATTTTATACTCTCCTTCTCTGAAGACATATTTCCTTTTCATCTGTGGTCACTGTTGTTTAGATGTATATGCTATTGGTGCTTCCCACATTGTCTTTCATCGTTCTTACTTCCTCTTCTACCCAGACTGGCCCTTTCTTCCTAATACTATGGCTACTTGGATGGGTGGTTCTTCTTTTACATTTGTTGCATCAGATTTGTCTACCCACTGACTTTCTGCAACCATCTCCTGTTCAGTTGCATTGAGGTGAGCATTTCCTAATATATCATGCCCTCTTCCTGCAGTGGATGACTGTTCTGTTGAATCAATGTACTAACTAACAATATACAGTCTATGGCATGTATTCTGTGCACTTCTCCTACAGCTGGTGTTGGTCCAAGAGTTTGACAGTAGAATTGAGAATAAAATGCACTAATAATTCCTGTGCCTTCCTCCCGCAGCTGGTGTCAGCCCAATAAGTTTGTCAGTAGGGTTGAAATGAGCACTAGATACAGACTGAATGTGCCCCAACCATGTTACACATATTGGGTTTTTCACCTCTTGTGTAAAAGTACTCTAATGGCCAGGTTCTTATTCCGCCCATATACCTGTGACACATGGGGCTTGTTTGCCTCTTCCTCTCTTCCAGAAGAGATGAGATACAGTCTCTCATGAGTGTGCCCCTATGGACCCCTGCCATCAGGTTTCCTTTGGGCAATTTCTGAAGGGAGCTCATCTAAGTAACTTTTGCCTTAGTCCTTCCACCATATCAATGTGGGATTCTAGTTTTCTATGTGAAAAGGTGTGTGTTAGTTCAGAAGTTAACATATTCCTTTTCTGAAAATGTTTTTCTGATAGACACACACTTTCCATCCTTCCTCCTCTCTTCCTGTAAAACTTAGTATTCCTTGCCTTGTCATAGAATGAATATCATGAATGCAAAAGCATAGAGGGAGCTAGTGCACAAGGAGGTTGTGTCAACCTCCTATTGGTGGATGGCTTTTGCTGAATAATAATGTCATTATGCAACAGCACAAATCATGAGAAATCTTGTGAGTTCAGATGGGAGTTACCTAAAGGTTAGTGGCATGCAAGTCTTTTAGAGAGATGCTTGGGAAAGATAGCGTTCTGTGTGAGAGGTGAATATCTATTGGAAATACATTTTCAGGTAAGGAAAACATTAACTTTCAGCTCCAATTTTTAACT